ATAATGTACAGTATGTGGAAAATAATGTTTTTTAACTTTAAACCGCATAAACACATTTCATTACACCAAATACACCAAATAATGTTCTTTTTAGCCGCATCATATGACCCCTTTAAAACATGACACAAGATTAGTAAAACATAATGATTTAAAATGTACTTTTCCATTATTTTGATTGGAAAGTCCTGCATGCATCACCAAAGTGAAGTCTGTCATTTCACATGAAAGATCGAGTTATGCCATATCGATTAAACTTTAAGAGATCAAAAAAATTATACCCGTATGAATCATTCACAATAAGACCAATATGCATTTATTAAAAAAAAGGTATGTTGGATTTTCATTTCATGCCGACTTTAAATATTTCACACAAATTGAAATATATACGGTTCTACCTGCTACTCTTGTAACCGAAATGCAAAGATGTAATGCAAACACAAATCCAGCAGGGCTCTTTGTAGCATCTTGGTACTTTGTAAGCACAGTTTTGTTCCCAGGCGATCTGGTTTAAACCTGTGCACCCTGAAGTTGCTTATGGACAGTCAATCAGATTGGACCTGATGCTTTCCAGTTGTTTGTGCAGTATGCATCAGATAGTGTATATGTCTGACACTGAGACCAGGCGCTGCACAAGACTATTATTTTCATCAGACTATCAGAAACCAGTCAGGACAAAACTAGGCTGCTATAATTAGCTCTTCTGAGGATCTTTTTGTGATTGCCATGAGATGTCATCAAGTACTATGTTTTTCGCTGAGATATTTCCCCATTCTGACTACACATACATTGCACGTTTCCCACTCTGTGAAATCATTTGCAGAAACTATTGCATCATATAACAAAATAATGAACTGTGATAGGCTGTTTTATGCATAGATCTGCAGCTTTTTCCTGTTTAAGCAGTCGTTGCTATGACACTTCAAACATGCAAAGCTGAGTGCAGATTCAGGCTTAACTGTGGAATATGTAAAGCGTTAAATGTAAGGTCACCATGTAGTTTCAGCCCTAAACTAGACTGTTATCGGGGCCTGATGTTGAAACTCAGACTAGCCGTATGATTTGCGGAATCAGTCATGTCTGGAGTGCAAACGCTGCAAGATGACACATACACACGCTGAACTTTAATCTGTAGTATAAAAAAATTCTTAACCCTTAATATGAGTAATGGCCAGAAGCATCATGTGCATTCAAAAGGGCAGGTGGATTTTAAATGTAAAATAAGCTACATGCTTATTGTGAAAACCGAAGCGGTGGCAGAAATCAAATTGATAAAAAAAAATGCATCTTTGGAAAAAAAAAAAAGTTTAAGTGGTTATACAGTTTTTCCCTCTTAGGTCACTTCTTTTTTCAGGGTTTCACACTCAAAAAATAAGTGCATGTAATAATAATGCAAAGCAATAATAATGCAAGGGTTTGTAAGCGACAGTAATAATTAGAAGGCCACTATAGAGTCACCACATCACACAGACCTCAGCTATTTCTGTACAGAGCACACACACACATCACATCTGCCTCAGTCTGATTTCAGATGCCTTGTAATATCAAACAGCATGCACGCACATGGTGAAAACAACAACTCGAACTCGACATCCAGCTTATCTAGATCAACTGTGGTCTGTCTTGAGGTTATAACGTAACCAGTCACTCCACCCACTTGAAGCCTGTGCGTGATCTGTGTAAGTTGAAAGTAAAGATGGTGTCTAGGAGCCAAACCAATCTGTGAGCACAGCGCAGCTGGAACAAAGCTTTACGTGATCTGCAAGCTTCAGAGATGCTGCGTGAGATCACTGTGTCAATGTTTAACATTGCCCATGCATGTACCCATATCAGATTTTACAACACAGTTGCGTTTGCTAAGGCAGCACTGTTGTTTTCATTTGTACTGCGGGTTAGAGGTTTAGAGGTTTTAGAAAAAAATGGCGTTCAGTGTTTGCGTCTTCCTGCAGCGTTCAGACTTGCAGACATGCAGGATTCTTCAAATCGTGTGTGTTGTTGAGGAGAGTGCTGGTGCTGTAGTAATATATAGCCTATATATTATATTTCACATTTTTGAGTTTATATGTCTCAGAATTGTGAGAAAAAAGTCAGAATTGTGAGATGAAAAGTCAAATTTAGCCTACATTTTATTTTTTATTCCGTGGCAGAAACAACCCAGAACATAGCAACGTCCTATCCACCTTTTTCTTGCCGGAAAAATGGGCAGCGTGGCCATTTGTAAATTCTATGGGTCTAGCTTCCGGTCTCATCTGCGTCCAGCTATTTTTAGCTGTACAAAACTGTTTGTTTTGCTGCTTGATATTGAAAATTGGTGTGTCTTACCATATTACTTTAATGCATTATCTTAATTATGAACACACTGGTTTGTAGAGCAAACAGTTTTACAGTTTACTGCACGGTGTTAATCTTCTCGTTATTTGCCTATAGCGGCTAATGAACCGAAAGTCTCGCCCATAGGCTTACTTCCGCGTTGAAGAAAAAGGTGGATAGAAGTAATGTGATTGAAACCACCCTGAACTCTTTATAGCTACCGCAAAGCAATGCCTCAGCAACCACTCAGGACATGTTGTTCGCCCCTGAAGCTGCTCAGACTGGATGTTCTTTATATGTTTGTTTCTTCAGAGAAGGAAGAAACAGATTGGTTTCAGAGTAATTGCAGTAATTATTATTGTCAGAATATTTAGGCAAGTCTGGACTTTGAACATTTCTTTAACATGCTTTTTAATTGCAGACTGACGGATGGATGGATGGATAGATGGATGATGGGTGGCTGAGTGGGTGAATGGAGGCTGGATGATGGATGAATGGATGAATGATGGCTGGATAGTTGGATGGATGGGTGGATAGATGTATGAATGGATGATGGATGGATGGATGGATGGATGGATGGATGGACAATGGATGAATAGATGGATGGATTATAAATGGATGGATGGATGAATGGATGGATGATAGATGAATGGATGGGTGGGTAGATGGATGGATGGATGGATAGATGATGGCTGGGTGGATGATGGATGAATAGATTGATGGATGGATAGATGTATGAATCGATGAATGAATGGATGGATGGATGATGGGTGATGGATGATAGAAGGATGGATGGACGATGGATGAATAGATGGATGGGTGGGTTGATGGATGATAGATGGGTGGGTTGATGGATGGATGGATGATGGATGAATGAATGGGTGGATGATGGATGAATAGATTGATGGATGGACGGGTGGGTTGATGCATGGATGGATGATAGATGAATGATAGATGGATGGATGGATGGATGAATGATGGATGAATGAATGGGTGGATTATGTATGAATAGATTGATGGATGGATGGGTGGGTTGATGGATGGATGGATGATAGATGAATGATAGATGGATGGATGGATGGATGAATGATAAATGAATGGATGGGTGGGTGGATGGATGGATGGATGATGGATGAATGAATGGGTGGATGATGGATGAATAGATTGATGGATGGATGGGTTGGTTGATGGATGGATGGATGATAGATGAATGATAGATGGATGGATGGATGGATGGGTGGGTGGATGATGGATGAATAGATTGATGGATGGCTTAAACAGTAGAGCATGGCACTAGCAACACAGAGGTCATGGGTTCGATTCCCAGGGAAAGTAAGAACTGATCAAAACATGTATCTTGAATGCAGAGTTGCTTTGGATAAAAGCGTCTTTCAGAGTCATGAGTGTAACTCGTCTGTGTGTCTCTGTTCTGCAGTATGCTGGAGTGGGTGAGTGAAGTGTTCTGGCAGGAGCATCTGTGGTTCCCGGAGGGTTTGGGATGGGCTGATCTGGAGGACCGTGATGGACGAGTCTATGCGAAGGCACGGGATTTGTGGGTGGCACTGCCAATCGCCGTCCTGTTTCTAGTAATTCGACAGGTCTTTGAGAGGTGGGTCAGAGCTCTGTCTTTCTCTTCCTCTGTGTTTAACTGTATGCCCTCCATGCAGGGCTTATTATTTTCTCTCCCTCTGCCGCTGTCTGACTGGTTTATAAATAGATCTTTAGTTCTATTTATACGTGTCGAGGTGCGTTTTGTCTCTCGCTTTTCAAACTTTAATATCTTCTCTCCCTGCGTCACTTCCTTCATGTTACTCTCCCATCCCTCTCTTATCCTAAGCTGTCTCTTCACATCATCTCTTGCTTTCTCAGTCATCCTGTGAATTTTTAATTACCGTGAGTCTCAGAATTAAGGAATAAGAGGCTGAATTAGGATTAGTGCGCTAAAATACACCTAATTACATCATCTGGTCTGAACTATAATAAGCTGCCTGACTAGACTTTGAGGCGTCTTCATGGCATTTGGAACAGAGCCACAGTCTAAAGTCACCAATCATTAATCAAACTGAACAGTCCAATTCAACATATCAATCAAGGTCATTTAAAATGCATAGTCCAAAAACAAAAAATTATTATAATAATAAAAAGACAGTAGCAACGGAAAGCAGTGGTCCGTTTAACACAAGTCTTTTCACTCGGTGGCCTCTCTTTGAATGGTTAAACATCAAATGCTCCAAAATCTGACAACAACTGTCTCATAAATGTTGTTTCTTATGCTCAAATAGCGTTGAAAAAACGTATTTTTCAGGCTAGACCGGCCAATGCGCATGCGCAGTCCTAGCGCGCATCTCAGAACGCTCACTGTTTCTATAGCAACCGGAGCAAAGCCACACTTTCTCCCATTCATTAGTCGTCTTTGTTTAGACTCATCTAAAGTCTTTGAATAAATGGACTAATATTATACAACAATGGTACACAGACTATAAATATGGATGATAAAGACACTGATCAAAAGTTAGGGGTTAAGGTTTTTTAATGTTTGTAGTCTCTTCTGCTCACTGAGGCTGCATTTATTTGATCAAAAATACAGTAAACATGTGAAATATTATTACAATTTAAAATAACTGTTTTCTATGTGAATCTCTGTTAAACTGTAATGTATGTCTGTGATGTGCAGCTGTATTTTCAGCATCATTCCTCCAGTCTTCAGTGTCACATGATCTTCAGAAATCAGTATAATATGCTGATCTGCTGCTCGAGAAACATTTCTGATTATTATCAGTGTTGAAAACAGTCGTGCTGCACAATATTTTTGTGGAAACTGTGATGCATTTTATTTTTCAGGATTCTTTGATGACTAGAAAGTTCAAAAGAACAGCATTTATTTGAAATAAAAATAAAACTTTACTGCCACTTTTGATCAATTTGATGCATCTTTGCTGAATAAAAGTGTTAATTTCTTTCGGAAACGTCTGCCTGTATGTTCAGATATGTTGCTACACCGCTAGCCTCTCTGCTGGGCTTGAAGGAAACAGTCAGACGGCGAGTTACACACAACCTCACACTGGAGTCCCACTATTGCAACACAACTAAAAACCCCACACAGGTGTGTACGCTGCTAGCCACTCTCGTACATGAATAACAAATCGGCCTGCAATATCAGCTCTTCATGTGTTTTTGCTCTCCAGAGTTCAGTAGAGAAACTGTGCAAGCAGACGGGATGGACCGAGCGACAGGTCCAGCGCTGGTTCAGGCGGCGCAGGAATCAAGACAGACCCAACCTTCTCAAGAAGTTTCGTGAGGCCAGGTGAAAAACAGATACACGCTCCTCACGAGTGCTTTCTATAGTCCTGTTACCATCGACCGTCGTCCTGTGAGATGAGCTTTGGCTGCTGATGTATGAGATTAAATGGTGCTTTATGAAAGCGGTTTCTGTAAGTGCAAAAGCTGAAGTCAGTTCTGCGTAAATGGCAAGACTGATCCTCTGAAGTGTTCCCACTGGTGTTTGGCACTTATTAAATTATTCATATGTTCAGTAAAAGTTTTAAAGGCTCGTTCACGTGCAGATTTTCTCGATCCTGGTCCTGGAGGACGGCAGCACTGCACATTTTTCCAGCTCAGCCTAATGCATTGAATTATATGGCAAGAAATGGTGCACTTAGGTTAAACATAGTGAACGAGGAGGATCTCGGTGCGTATCATTGCCATTCATCTTAATAGTGCACAACCCAGAATAACATCACTGTTCGGCTGCTCTCAAACTTTTTGCTAGTGACTAAATATATAAGACTATTTCACACTTTTAAGAGCCTTAAAAAGAATCAAGTAGTGGTGAAAAATCCAATGTAGTTAGTGATTAATTACATTGGAAATTATTGTTTTTTAACAAATCACAGAAAAAGGGAACACAGAAACTGAAAATAAAAATTTCCATTTAGCCGAAACTAAAAATGTACTCAAACTAAAAAGTTTTTTTAATAATGAATGAATGAATCAAATTAATTTAATAATTAACACTCAGAAAAAAAAAACTGATTTTATATATGAACATTTAAATTGCATATAAGGCTGTTTTTATATAAACTTTTTAATTATATAATTATGTTTGAATCAAATTCATGAAATATAAACAATTAAACGGTGGCTGTAATAAACACTTGTTTTAATGACAGATTTAGTCAAACATACATTAAATAATAAAGACAACAAGTTAAGTAAAAATTTGTGCTGTCAAATCGATTAATCACGATTAATCGCATCCAAAATAAAAGTTTGTGTTTATATATATGTGTGTGTACTGTGTATATTTATTATGTATATATAAATGCACCCGCATACAGTATATATTTGATGTAAGTCATTTGCCGTTTCAGCCTGTTTTAACTCTCTGGTTTTATTTCCTGTGCTGATTTAATGCTTAACACAATCCGCCATGTCCGTCTCTTTCTCTAGAAGCCCTGGTTGTATGATCTCGAGGAGATGTGGAAAGGCTTCCCCACTCTGGTGAGTTAAACACATGGCCTCATGCCGAGCTGCTCTTTTGTCATTTCCAGCAAATGCGGTATACTTTAGTAACTGTACAACAATTTTGAAACATGCTGCACGTACTACAAATTTAGTGCATACGAATTAAGCATTTCCATAACCAACTAACATTAAATAGAGCTGATGTTGCGCTGATTTCAGGTGTGTCGTTCATTTGTTATGAATAATGTGGTATTTTTGTTTGTGCCCATATAAAGTTCAACATGAGAATCCCTTGTGAAAATTAAGTACACTTTAGCATACTTTAAATAAAGAGTAATTATTTAGGAAACAATGTACTTTAAAAGAACATACTTAAGTGTGAACTGAATGTGATGTTTTCAGACACTTAATTGCATGTTATTTGCAATTTGATGCATTATAGTTTATTAAATGCAATTAGTCAAACTAAGGAGTGGTTTTTTACCCACTTAAGTAGGACTTCAGTACATCTTTATATGTAATTTCATAATTCTATTGTCTTTTAAATATGGTTAAAGTGTTCCTGCTGAATGTACTGACAAGCATTTATGATCAACTAAAATATACTTTAATGGCATTAAAATACAAGTATTTAAATACATTTGTAATTACACATTTATAATGATGAAGTTGCAGTTTAAAATATATTTACTTAAAACGTAATATTGAATAACACTAAAAGTATAAATATAATCAAGCACTGTACTTTACATGTGCTTTAGTATGTTAGTGAACACATCAAAATAAGTGTACTTCTTTAAAACATGACAAAAGATTAATAAAACAATGATTTAAAAATATACTTTAAATGAAACTGGCATTATTACAAAGTGCACTTTTTAAAAGTGTGTTAAGAGATAGTCATGAAAGTGTCTCTCTTTAAGTGCACTTAAGTGGCCTTTTATTTTATTAATACTATATCATCTGCGAGTATTTTTTTATTTTTTTACAAAATATGCTTTTCAGATTTGAAGTACAGTACAAATGCACATTCAGTGCTGTTGAGCACACTTATACACTTTGTCATTCTAAAAAAAAACTGATTTCTGATGTTTAATGTTTAAAAGGCATGCATATGAAGAAATATACTTTTAAGAAAACATACTTTTTAAAAGTGCACGTTCAAAGCAGACTTTCTCACAAGGCAAATAATAACATCAGATGGTACCTTTCTTTTGTAGAATTTAAACCCATATGTAAGCATTTAGTTGATGTGATAATTACAAAAATCCTTATCACATGGTTACGTAATATATAGAATATTTATGAGGTGAATTTCCAGCAAAATAACATAATAAATGATACCGTAAACATGATATAAATGACTCATTCTTTGATAAAGATTTTGGTCATATTGCTCACTTCTACTCAAGAAATGTGATCTGCATAACGATCAAGTAATAACAATAAAGTCTGTTCGTACGTAATCAGATGTGGCTAGTTTATACTGTACATCATTCGAGTGAACGTTCTCTCTGTCTCTCAGACTCTCCTGTCGTCTCAGTACTGGTACTACATGCTGGAGCTGGGTTTCTACACCTCTCTTCTCTTCAGCCTGGCGTCGGATGTCAAGCGTAAAGTAAGTCGTGATTAATCATCATCACACTGCAAACCTCACCTTCGCATCTCAATGAATCAGACTTTCTTTTTTGAGCAGCGCAGTATTCAACGCAGCAGCTAATGCTGGGAATCACTGCAGGCTGTTTTGTTTTTGCGGTGGTCTTGAAGACAGATGTTTAGATTATGTAAGAAGTAAACTAAAGTAACTGAAACTGTTGTTTCCTTCTGCAAGTCTCTGGTGTCAGACTGAGGAATAGATTTAAACGCATGAATCTGAGCCACTGACTTTGTGGACGCAACGGTATAAAGTGAAATCATATACAAATACACTTTGAAAGGTGAATATTGGTTGTTGAATTTGTAACAATGAAAAAGTGCGTGTAATTTTTCCAGCTGAAATATCCACAGTTTGTATGTTTTGAAGCTATATTTAGTTAGTTATAGTAATAGTAATAATTATAGGATTATTATAGTAACTACAAAAAAAACATTTTATTTCAGTTCATTTTTAATTCATTATACGTTGATGTACTAAATAACTAAAGGTAAAACAGAAAAGTTAAGTAGAACTATATCTGTCTATCTATATATGTCTATCTGTCTGTCTGTCTGTCTATCTGTCTATCTATGTCTGTCTGTCTGTCTGTCTGTCTGTCTGTCTATCTGTCTATCTATATCTGTCTGTCTGTCTGTCTGTCTGTCTATCTATCTATCTGTCTGTCTATCTATCTATCTATCTATCTATCTGTCTGTCTGTCTCTCTGTCTATCTGTCTATCTATCTATCTGTCTGTCTGTCTGTCTGTCTATCTGTCTATCTATATCTGTCTGTCTGTCTGTCTGTCTGTCTATCTATCTATCTGTCTGTCTGTCTGTCTGTCTATCTGTCTATCTATGAAGAGTTCATTTGCAAAAACAGATAACTCCGTTTTTAACAATTTTCAAAAAATCATGTTTTTTCATTGTGCATTCCAATTAATTCCAAACAAACTGCAAGTTGGGTTATTTTGATTAGTTTAAAAATTACAAAAATAAAAACAGGATAACATCATAAAAAACATGATTTTTGAAAATTAAAAAGTTATCTGCTTTTGCAAATAAACTCTTCATATGTTGATGATTCAATGATGAATCATCAAAAATTATTCAAAATATTAATAAAACTATTATAGTATCTCAGTGATACTAAAATTATGCTAGTCAGTTATTCTTAACATTTTGAATTATAAATTGTATTTGAACAACAAATTAATTTGCGATTATTTTCAAAAAGCACTTGTAAGTACTTTTAATAACTATATATGTAATTTAATAAAAATGCACAACTATACAGCAATGTTGAATTTCAGCCCAGTCATTGTTAATGCACTGCATTATTGTTTTCAATGAGTGTAATTCAACATGCTTTTTGTTTCAGAAAGATTTCTTATTATTATTACTTCGTGCTGTGGATAACAGACCACCATCTGAGAAGGTCTTTGCTTTTTAAGGGTTCACGCATATATGGCAAAATTCACACGACTCACTCTCAAACCCCAAAACACAAAAAGGCAACGGTCATTAAAAACTAAATTATGATGACCGACATCTTGAGTAGCATTATAACTGGACTGAAAAATGAACTAGCGAGACCACGATGGAGTTGACTTCTGTTTTCGTTATAATGAATGGCGTTAAACTGACAGACGTAGTATGAAGAACTCATAACTGTGTACTGATCTTAGCGTCTCTCACTGTCTCCTGCAGGACTTCAAAGAGCAGGTCATTCATCACGTGGCCACCATCATGTTGATCAGCTTCTCCTGGTGTGTTAATTACATCAGAGCGGGAACGCTCATCATGTTCATGCATGATTCAGCCGACTATCTGCTCGAGGTGAGAAATCTAAGGCTCTTAGGTCAAACGTATTTTATTAAGCATATGCTAAAATGTGTCCCTGCAGCACAAAAGCAGTGTTAAGTCGCTGGGGGATATTTGTAGCAATAGCCAACAATACATTGTATGGGTCACAATTATACATTTCTCTTTTATGCCAAAAATCATTAGGATATTAAGTAAAGATCATGTTCCATGAAGATATTTAGTAAATGTCCTACCGTAAATATATAAAAACTTAATGTTTGATTAGTAATATGCATTGCTAAGAACTTCATTTGAACAACTTTAAAGATGATTTTCTCAATATTTAGATTGTTTTGCACCCTCAGATTCCAGATTTTCAAATAGTTGTATCTCGACCAAATATTGTCCTATGCATCACCACACATCAATGGAACGCTTATTTATTCAGCTTTCAGATGATGTATACATCTCAATTTAAAAAAATGACCCTTATGACTGGTTTTGTGGTCCAGGGTCACATTTATGCACTTAAAGTATGAACTTCACTGGAAAGAACAGTGTAAAATAGTGGGATACAGAATTCACAGCATGTTTTGGCACATGTGATAGATCATCTGGGTATTTTATGCATGCAGAAAAGGTGTACTTTATACACTACTGATTAAAAACTAAATTATTTTTTAAAGAAATTAATACTTTTATTCAGCATGGATGCATTAAATTGATCAAAAGTGACAGTAAAGACATTTTTAATGTTACAAATTCATCTGAATCCTGAAAAATAAAATGCATCACGGTTTCCACAAAAATATTGTGCAGCACAACTGTTTTCAACATTGATAATAATCAGAAATGTTTCTCGAGCAGCAGATCAGCATATTATACTGATTTCTGAAGATCATGTGACACTGAAGACTGGAGGAATGATGCTATAAATACAGCTGCACATCACAGAAATACATTACAGTTTAACAGAGATTCACATAGAGAACTCTAGTTTTAAATTCTAATAATATTTCTGATTTTTCCATAGTTTTAATCAAATAAATACAGCCTTGATACTTTTCTATAAACATTAAAAATCATACTAAGGTACATACTATTCTGCAGAAATCAAAAGAAACTCATCCTCCCGATCATTTATCTTCATGTTGCCCATGTCAGTGTTAAAAGCTGAACTCATGTCCCTAATTTCTTTGAAAACTTTTAGGTGCATACCTTTAAAAATGGAAACGGTCACAAACTCCTCTATTATCATAACATTAGGGAATGTGAGCAGCATTAGCCCTAAAAGCCAGCAGCAATGCACACTTTAGGATAATAATACACCATGCAGTCCTATGCTGTAGAGCACAGATGATGTGAATCCGGATGCAACCTGAGAACTTGTGATGTATATCAGCAGAAAGAAGCATTCCCTCTTGTGTACACATCAGTCTTCCCCTCATATCATCTCTCTCTCTCTCTCTCTCTCTCTCTCTCTCAGTCAGCTAAGATGTTTAACTACGCCCGATGGAAGAACGCATGCAACTACATCTTCATCCTGTTTGCTGCGATCTTCATCGTCACTCGCCTCATCATCTTCCCTTTCCGGTACACAGTTCATCCGTCTCTCTCTCTGTGTTTCTCTCCACACACATGCTGTCATCAAACATGCCATGATTGACGTGATTATGATACAGTCGTGGTGTGTTTCTATGGATATAAGCGTGATTATACACGTGCACAAGTAAAACAAGGCACTGAACTGTTTGATTGAGAAGAACTGAACTGTGTGAGAGTGTGTGATACTGTATAATGTTATAGGGTTTGGAGCAGAGCTCATGTTTGTGTGTTTCTGTCTGTCTCTCAGGATCATGTATTGCACATGGGTGTTTCCCGTGACCCTGTACCCTCCGTTCTTCGGATATTACTTCTTTAACGGGCTGCTGATGGTTCTGCTGTGTCTGCACATCTTCTGGGCCGTGCTGATCATACGCTTGGCCTTCCGCTTCTTGAGCAGTAACGTACGTCTGCATGGTTTCATATTTACATTTACACCTAGTTTTATCGGTAACATAAGGTCCAAATATTTGAAGGAGCAGCTCCTGAACGTGAAAATTTGCCTGAAATGTGCCCACCCTCAGGTCATATGAGATGTAGGCGAGTTTGTTTCTTCATCAGATTTGGAGAAATGCAGCATTGCGTCACTTGCTCCTCTGTTAGTGAATGGGTGCCGTCAGAATGAGAGTCCAAACAGCTGATGAAAACATCACAAGTAATCCACAGCACTCCAGTCCATCAGTTAACATCTGGAGAAGACAAAAGCAGCTGAAACAAATCCAGCATTAAGACCTTTTTAACTAAAATACGAGTCTATAATTCATAATAACGCTTCCTCCGGTGAAAAAGTGGTCTGGTGAGAGACTTTTTCACTGGAGGAAGCGTTATGGGTTATGGACTTGTATTTTAGTATCGGAAGCAACAGTTTGAAGAGTGTTGTGTGGTTATTGTGATGTTTTTATCAGCTGTTTGGACTCTCATTCTGACGGCACCCATTCACTAACAGAGGAGCAAGTGATGCAATGCTACATTTCTCCAAATCTGATGAAGAAACAAAAAGGACATTTTGAGCATCTTTTCATTTTCGAGTCATCTATTCCTTTAAGGGCATGTAGCTCACGAGTCACGATACTTGAATGAATTTTTTTGGAAGCTTGAGCTTTGTGAAAATCATTTTTTTGAATATCACACCTGTATTTGTTCTCTGGAAGATAAACAGTCACACAGGTTTGGGACGGCATGAGGGTGAGTAAAGATGACAGATTTTTGGGTGAACTATGCCATTGTCTTTGTGAATGCTTTCTCTCCTGACGCTGTCATTCTTTCCCAACAGTCGTCGGTAGAAGACGAGAGGTCCGATCGAGAGGAGACGGACGAGTCCGAGGAGGAAGAACAGATGAGAAACGGAGAGATAAAGAAAAGCGGACCAGCTCAGAACGGCCACGCTACATATAACAACAACCACTCTAAAACAGAGTGACGTCCCGAGAGAAACCCAAAGAGATTCTTCCTCTCCTGAAGCAGAGCAGAGACGAACACGCACACATACAGTTACAGTCATCACACGAACACCTCTCTCTGGAGGGACGAACAGAGAGCAGTGCTGCCTCGATTGACATAAGCTTACAGGAGCAGATCACCTAGAAATCTACATCCTTTACTGATGCCTCTCCAAACCTCGGTGACTTTCTTGCAAAGACTTTCAACCTGCTCTTCCCCATACAATGAAAATCAATGGTGACCACGACGGTCAAGCCAGATTTGCCGTCTGTTCCTCACACAGATCAGTGCTCGTCTCATATTGCTGCATTTTTTTATGCTGCGTCTTTGTGCTTTCTAGAGCTTGAAATCCTTTCGTTTCATTGTATGGTAGACAGCTATGGAAGCCAATGGAATACATGAATAAAAGGTCATTGTGACATTGTATCTCACAATTCAGACCTTGTTTCTCGCAATTCTGAGAAAAACAGAATTCCGAGATTTAAAACTCAGAATTCCACGCAATTCCAGAGTTTATGTCCCATAATTCTGAGTTTACATCTCGCAATAATTATGAGACGTAAACTCAGAATTGCAAGAAAAATGTCCGAATTATGAGATAAAAAGTCGCAGTTACATTTTTACATTCCCTGGCGGAATCAGGCTTCCATAGAGAGCAGCTCTGACATTATGCGTAAATGATGACTGATTATTTTAGGTGACCTGTGCCTTTTAAAAGTGCCTTCCTTTGCCATTGTTTGCTCTTTTTCATGCCTTGTTTTTAGTTTTTAATTTAAGAAACTGCAGAAACTTTTTCCAGAGTATAACCATTCATCAATAATACCGAACACATGTGAGTACCAAGTACATCAGTTTGGTCTTAAAGTGCGGTCACAATTCACTGGCAAAAAAGGTAATAGTCTATTGTCAGTAGTGTAGCGATGTATGAAGAACATCTCGCACAGAAGTCACTTCCAAACCGATTACGCGAGATGGTCGAGTGCATTCAATGCATTTTCACTCATGGAATAAATTAATCACGGCGGCTGGCAGTAAATAATGCATTTCTGCAATGGCATTGGTTACTAGAAAGGTTTTGTTCTGTATGATGCTGCATCTCTGACTCTGAAGTGTCAGGACGATCAGGCAGAGCACCAAAGAAGTCACTGAGTGCATCTTATAATATGGCCGAATGTTACTAACTTTCTAACGCAAAGGAGAAAACATGCACTTCACTGCCAGTTCTCCTTCCATTCAGTTTATGAATATGATATTTAACCCATATTTTACTCTAAAGCTCCTAATTATGAACGACTCGTATCGGCCAGTTGTAGCTCGGTCATGTTCACACCGATTCTAAATATATGAACACCGTGCTTTCTTCCGTCTCGAGCAGCTGAGATGAATTCGGCTCTCCTCATTTCTCTGAGGTGCAGGCTTTTCTCTCTCAAAGCGGCCAGTGCTGTCTACATTCATGATTCAATCCCACAGCTGCTTCATCTGAATCCGCTCGTTCACATCGCGTTTCTGTGTCCTGCTCCGATTTCATCATTCCTCCCATGGTCCTCCGTCAGCCTCCCATCATTCTCTTCTCTACATTGTTTCAGATGCAGTCGACTCGATTACAGTGTTATCTTTATTTTGTATTTTCCTGTGTTTTGTAATATGATATTATGGAGGATGTTAACAATAAAATACTGAATGTGAGTCACACACTGAGTCACACTCTGTTATTATTTTATGTCGTTAGTCTCTTCAAGTAGTGTCAACCACAGCCCTTATTTTATTATAATATATGAATCTAAAATATGATAAAAACCCACAGGGAACTCCTAAAGGACTCCAGGGCTGTCAGATGACTGTTTTCTTCTTGGGTCACATAATTACATTATATTACATTAAATACAAGTTAACCGAAACATGTTCATTTACATATTAAACATTAGAAATGTAGAGGTTTATAGAATGAGGAAGTAAATACGTGCCTTTAACTGTATTGAATGTGCACTTGTGGTATGTAGATAATATAATATTATTTAAATAAAAGGCCACTTAAGTACTTAAAGAGAGACACTGACTGTTTCTTACACTTAAGTACACTTTTTAAAAATGCACTTTGTAATAATGTCAATTATAAAGTACATTTTAAATCGTTTTGATGTGTTTACTAACACACTAAAGAACTTGCTTAAGTTAATCAGTTTTAAATGTACTAAATTGCGACTTCATTACATAAATGACATGCAAGTTTCAATAGAAATGTAGGTTGGTATATTAACATTATATCAGTTAATGAAATTACGGTATTTAACTGTAAATTTAAGTTAAAACTGTAAAACCTAAAAAGTTGCTACCGTATTTTCTACAGTAAAATTCCGGCACAGCTGCCGTTTTTTTACCGTAAATTTTAAGATTTTTTTTTTACAGTGTACACTTAAAGCTGTGTTTGATTCTGCATTCATTCAAGTAAGTTTGATATTACTTGGGTAAATATATGTTTAACTAGCAAATACCTAAATGTGTTTATACAGTAGCAAGCCAGCCAGTAAATCAGATATGCTTAAGCTAGTAAGCGATTTCATTGACAATTTATGAGGCTATAGGTATCATGTGCTGACTATAGCTCAAGCTGTGATGCTCTTTCTTCTTCATTCTGCTAGCCATGGCGCTTTTCTGAATGATCGGTTTACAAAAAGACAGAGAGGTCCTCACACAAAGTTTACTTTGACATTGAATGGTATCTGTTAGAGATCAGCTCCTAGCCAATCCTGCTCGCACCCGTTAGTCTGGGGACACTGCTGTACAAATGCAGTGCTGAGAGAGAGTTTTTGGCCACGAATGCTGTTAACCTTCAGTTCCTGCAGTCTGTCACGTACACACAGTACACACAGAAAGCCAGAGATACATCATATGAAAGAATATCGATTAAATCTATTCTACCAACACAATTTATGCTTTAAAACAATTCTCTTATATCTCCCACTATGTTTTTTTTTTTAAAGAATATTGGTTGTTGTTTAAAACGTAAAAAGATTTTTTCTTTTTGGCTTCTCTTTTGGCTTTTTCAGGTAAATTGGGACACTGCGTCTGGTAAAGTGGGACACATTTTAATCTAGTCTGTGCTTACAAAATACAGTTTCATATAGAATGCATTTTGTTTTGTTATGGAAATTTGTATTATTTGGCATCTTAAGAGAAAAGCACAGTTATGGTTACGTGATAAATATTTTTTTTACTTGCAAAAGTTCATATTCACAAATATAAGTTCTCCTGCAAAAAAACATGCTTTTTTCTTTTAGGAAAGAAATGGAGCATTATATTGATTCTTTCTTTCTTTTCAGAAAAAGCTGTGAAAGTTTGTAAACACTTTAATATCTTCATTAGATACATTAGTATCTGTATACATCCCCTCTAGTGCATAATCTTGTAGAGCAGTGCGTAGTGAGCAGGGAGCAGTGAGCCCGCTGCTTTACCCCACATACGCACGACCGGAAGCAACGAAAGCGCTCGACTGTGGCATAATAAAAGCTCCGCTGCTTTCCAGCCGTGTGTTGCGCTCGTTCAGCGCCTCGGTTCGCTTCGACGGCTTTCAGCCTCACCCTGCTTCATTTTGCTAGGTTAATAAATCATTAGCTCATCCATGAACATGATTTCTGCCCGAGTCCCGTCGGATTGCGTCGGCTGTGGGGATGAAGACCACAACTCCCATGATTCCACACTCAGCCACGGCCTCATCTAACTACGCGTTTGTTTCTTTGTTTGTTTTGAATACGTGCCCTTTAGTGGCGAAAAATACATATTGTGCCTTTAACTGCTATTTTCTTCTAATTTTCTTACTTAAAGGGATAGTTCACACAAAAATGAAAATTCTGTCCTCATTTACTCGCCCTCAAGTACCCAACTCTGTGCATGTTCTGCAAGACCCCCCCCTTTCCATGAAACATTTTATTGGATTGTCCCGGTTTTAAAAAGTAGAAACGTTTTTTTATGTAGTACGCTCACTCAGTGACTTGTTTAGTAAGAATTTACCAGAAAAGATTTTAAAAAATTTTTATCGTATGTTATTTAAAAAAATCTTGTATAATTTTAACTGCTGTATTTTTGTGTTTGCTTGGTGTTTATGTAACTCTAGTATTATACTCAACTCAGTTTTTGCCATGAAGATGGCAATTAAAATAAATAACTTATACTACTGCTCACTCTCATGTTGTTCCAAACCTGTATGAATTTCTTTCTTCTGTTGAACACACAAGAAGATATTTTGAAGAATGTGTGAATCCAAACAGTTTCTGGTCCCCATTGACTTCAGTAGTATAGAAAAAATACTGTGAACGTCAGTGAGGACCAGGAACTGTTTAGTTAAACACATTCTTCAAAATATCTTCTTGTGTGTTCAACAGAAGAAAGAAATTCATACAGGTTTGGAACAACTTGAGAGTGAGTAAATGCTGACGGGATTTTTACATTTTTTTTGTAAACTATCCCTTTAAGTAAGAAAATAAGAAGAAAAGTTAAGAATATTTTGTATTTTCACTTTAATTTGAAAGTTTTCGTAATTTTATTTTATTTTATTTTTTTATTAGTTTTTATTGGTGGTATTTTTTAAGTGTGTGTATAAAGTATTTGTTAATTTTGATTTGTTTTAGTTTATTATGTTTAAAGGGGTCATATGATGCTTTTTTAAAGAACATTATTTTGTGTATTTGGTGTAACAGAATATGTTGACATGCTTTAATGTTCAATAAACACATTATTTTTCAAATACTGTACATTATTGTAGGTCCTCTATGCCCCGCCTCTCTCAAACGCTTCGTTTTCTACAAAGTCCCTCCTTCCGACAAGCGCAGTCTGCTCTGATTGGCCAGCTGACCCAGTGCATTGGGATTGGCCGAACACCGCAAGCACTCGTCGGAAATGTAACACCCCTTACCATAATCGCCAGCTTCATCTTTCAAAATAAATGTAAAGACAGAGCCTGAAAGGGGAACAGAGTCGCGTGACAGACAGAGTGCTGAAGCTGGTATGAGTTTGCAATACACAAGCCACGGTTAAGACAGCTTTCTCCCCTGTGATGTGTCTCGCTCTCTCGCGCTCTCTCTCTCTCTCTCTCTTTCTCTCTCTCTCACACACACACACATACACAAACAGTAGCTGATTCAGAAGCGCCAGATTGTCATAGCAAAGTCAGAGTGACTCCTCTCCTAAGTTCACGAAACGGTCGTCCATAAAATGCATTGCTGTTCTGTTGTAAGTGATCTTAAAGATTCCTAAATGCATCTACTTCCGGAAGGCCAAATAAAGTGCTTTTTCTTTCGCCTAGAAACACACAGCGTCTCCCTGACATGCTGCTTCAACACTAACTGCGGTTACTGAAACCACACCTTCTTTCTTTGCGTGAACATTTGGGCGCATTATGCAAATATTTCCACATAGTGAGGTAGATATGTGGGGGCGTGTTAGAACGAGCCGTTTTAGGGGGGCGTGGCAGAGTCTTAACTTTGATAAAGAATATCTCTTTGGTTTTGAGACTTTAGTCTTTGCAACTTCAGGGATCTTATCTATGCACAAGCAGCTTGTAGCACTCCAAAGAGAAAGGAAAACTTGAAATCGCATCATATGACCCCTATAAGTTATTTTAGTACTTGACTTAAACTAAATGAAAACGGGAGATGTTGTCTTGGCAACTAGCTAAAATAAAATAAATGTACTTTTTTCAGTAACACTTATTTTATTTAAAGCAATTTTATAATGGTTTTAGTTAACGATCATAACCCTGGTGAATGAAAATTGTGTGCACTATTATGATTATTACCTTTGGCGCCTTTGAGGTGTTTTTCACTGAACCGATAAGCAAGTCTTTGCCAAGAAATTGCCAAACAATCATATACCACCTAAATGTTTTCATCCTAAGCAAAAAAAAATAAGTAAATATTTAAGAACTTCTTAGAAAATTTAATATCTGGAAATTAAATTTATTTTATTTATTTATTTTTTTAATACCAGGACTGAATCATTTTCATGATGTTCTGTTCACTGTGTCCTCTCTCTGTAGGAGCTGAAGCACCTGGTTCTGGAGGCGGCTGATGGTTTTCTGTTCGTGGTGTCGTGTGAAACCGGCCGTGTGGTTTATGTGTCGGACTCTGTCACACCGGTTCTGAACCAGGCTCAGTCGGATTGGCTCGGATCATCGCTGTACGACCAGCTCCATCCAGACGACACAGAGAAACTCCGAGAGCAGCTCTCCACCAGCGAGAACAACAACGCCGGTGAGAAACAACTCTGCTGGCCTTTGTGATGTCAGTCTTTTTCTGTTTAACTCGTCTTCCTCCTTTCTGACTGTAGGCCGGATGTTGGACATGAAAACAGGCACGGTGAAGAAAGAGGGTGGGCAAGCCTCAGTGAGGATGAGTATGGGAGCACGCCGCTCCTTCATCTGCAGGATGAGGTGAGGAACAGGAAGAACAAAGTAAGTAACAGGCCTTTTAGTGTAATTGTGCAGAAGTCGTCCTTCAGCTGGAGCTTCACGTGTCTTTCTGCTGTCAGATCTTTACTGACTAATCAGAATAACTGCAGTAATATCTCCAGATGAACTCTTACTGGACTGAAGCAGCTCAGCTTTACTTGATTCTCCATCAATCATGTTTTAGAGTCTCAAATCTGATCCTCAGGATCTTTTGAGGAGCGTTTGTTTCCAGAAGCTTTACTTTCACTGTTCCTCAGCGGAGGAATGATCTTCACAAGCCTCCAGAACATCTCACATCTTCTGAGGAGCCTTTATTTCTTCAGCACTGGATTGCAGTGCATTACATGTGTGGATCATTTCAATCTCATCTTACTAAGACATATTCTATAATTTATATAACATTTTATGTAAGCATCTGCTATTGTTATAAAGATCTCATTGATTTACAATACAGGCATCAGAATGTTATCTTACTTTTTGTCTGTGTAAATATCAGCATCTGCGGCATATTTTTTCTCCGTTTTTTTTCAATAAACTGTTAAATAAGGAATACGCTGTTTGCATACACAGAAAGAACAAAAATGTTTTTAAAAAGCCTTAAATTATATTCACAATGTGAACTATTTTTACTGTTGTGAAATATCTCTGATGCATGGATTGTAAAAAGGACAGAATAACTGCAGTAATATCTCCAGATGAACTCTTACTGGACTGAAGCAGCTCAGCTTTACTTGATTCTCCATCAATCATGTTTTAGAGTCTCAAATCTGATCCTCAGGATCTTTTGAGGAGCGTTTGTTTCCAGAAGCTTTACTTTCACTGTTCCTCAGCGGAGGAATGATCTTCACAAGCCTCCAGAACATCTCACATCTTCTGAGGAGCCTTTATTTCTTCAGCACTGGATTGCAGTGCATTACATGTGTGGATCATTTCAATCTCATCTTACTAAGACATATTCTATAATTTATATAACATTTTATGTAAGCATCTGCTATTGTTATAAAGATCTCATTGATTTACAATACAGGCATCAGAATGTTATCTTACTTTTTGTCTGTGTAAATATCAGCATCTGCGGCATATTTTTTCTCCGTTTTTTTTCAATAAACTGTTAAATAAGGAATACGCTGTTTGCATACACAGAAAGAACAAAAATGTTTTAAAAAAGCCTTAAATTATATTCACAATGTGAACTATTTTTACTGTTGTGAAATATCTCTGATGCATGGATTGTAATGTGTGTGTGTGTGTGTGTGTGTGTCCAGATGTGGAGTGTGTCCCGTAGAGCCGGTGTCCATGAACAGACTCAACTTCCTGAGAAGCAGAAACAGGTACGGCAGCTCTCTGTCTGTGTATATAGATCTCAGTCTGCACACAGATGTAGATGAAGGCCATCTCTTCTTCTGCAGGAATGGACTGGGTCCTGCTAAGGAGGGTGAGCCGCAGTATGCGGTCGTGCACTGCACAGGCTTCATCAAGTCCTGGCCTCCTGCAGGTAACACTATCAGATGTGACAACGCAGAGGAAGTGTCTATTGTTCACAGAGAGCTGAGCTGAATCCCACAGTCCAGTCAGAACACAACTGAGACTTGTATTGTGCCTTCGTCCCCTCTGTCTTGCTCTCTCAGGAGTGACTCTTGCTGAAGAGGAGGCCGATAATAATCAGGGGAATCGTTTCTGTCTAGTTGCCATTGGAAGGCTACAGGTAGTTTTCCCCTTCCGTTTTATTTCAGTTTCCAGTGAATTAGTTTTGAGTCACATCCAAAGGAATAGTTTGCACAATTCTGTCGTCATTTACTCGTATCTTATCTTGCCTATGAAGGGCAAGTTTAGCCCCTTGTTCATGCTGCTCTTTATCTTTATTCACTTTCATCATCTGTAAAAGAGCAACATTGACTCATTTATGACAAACACCTCAAAAATGAAAATTGTGCAGGGCTCGCAAAATGTCAAAATCCCTGGTAGCCCTTCGGACAGGCACTCTTCAGATTTTGGTAGCCTGAAATAAATATAACTGTTATAATATAAATATAAAATGCAAATAAAGATATTTTGAATGAAACCTGAGAGATTTGTCTCTACATTGAAAGTCCATTCCACCAAAGATTTGACAATTCAAAAAATTCATAAAGAAGTGGTAAAAGTAATAAAGTTTTAATTTAGCTTTTTAATCACATATAAACATTGATAGAGCTCATCAAATGTGGTAAATGAAAGCTCAAATGTGCTTGTTTGACGCTCAAGAAGCAATGAGGTTCTCGTGTGTATAAATATAAAGCGATCGTGTCTCTTCAGACAGTCTGGATTAAATCTCTCAATCCATATGAATCATTTTACAGTGTTTTTATGAACAATTTGAATCGTAAAAGTTTTGGTTGCATTGACTTTCGTTGGTGGAACAGAAATCTCTCAGGTTTAATTAAAAATAAATAATCATTTGAATTTCAAAGATGAACAAAAGTCATACAGGTTTGGAACATCATGTTTAGAGTGAGTAATTGATGACAGAATTGTAATTTTGGGGTGAACTGTCTCTTTAAGATCCTCTCTGACCTCTGTTTTGTCGTGCAGGTCACATGTTGCCCAAGCGACACTAGCATAAATAACATCGTCCAGATGTGGAGTGTGTCCCGTAGAGCCGGTGTCCATGAACAGACTCAACTTCCTGAGAAGCAGAAACAGGTACGGCAGCTCTCTGTCTGTGTATATAGATCTCAGTCTGCACACAGATGTAGATGAAGGCCATCTCTTCTTCTGCAGGAATGGACTGGGTCCTGCTAAGGAGGGTGAGCCGCAGTATGCGGTCGTGCACTGCACAGGCTTCATCAAGTCCTGGCCTCCTGCAGGTAACACTATCAGATGTGACAACGCAGAGGAAGTGTCTATTGTTCACAGAGAGCTGAGCTGAATCCCACAGTCCAGTCAGAACACAACTGAGACTTGTATTGTGCCTTCGTCCCCTCTGTCTTGCTCTCTCAGGAGTGACTCTTGCTGAAGAGGAGGCCGATAATAATCAGGGGAATCGTTTCTGTCTAGTTGCCATTGGAAGGCTACAGGTAGTTTTCCCCTTCCGTTTTATTTCAGTTTCCAGTGAATTAGTTTTGAGTCACATCCAAAGGAATAGTTTGCACAATTCTGTCGTCATTTACTCGTATCTTATCTTGCCTATGAAGGGCAAGTTTAGCCCCTTGTTCATGCTGCTCTTTATCTTTATTCACTTTCATCATCTGTAAAAGAGCAACATTGACTCATTTATGACAAACACCTCAAAAATGAAAATTGTGCAGGGCTCGCAAAATGTCAAAATCCCTGGTAGCCCTTCGGACAGGCACTCTTCAGATTTTGGTAGCCTGAAATAAATATAACTGTTATAATATAAATATAAAATGCAAATAAAGATATTTTGAATGAAACCTGAGAGATTTGTCTCTACATTGAAAGTCCATTCCACCAAAGATTTGACAATTCAAAAAATTCATAAAGAAGTGGTAAAAGTAATAAAGTTTTAATTTAGCTTTTTAATCACATATAAACATTGATAGAGCTCATCAAATGTGGTAAATGAAAGCTCAAATGTGCTTGTTTGATGCTCAAGAAGCAATGAGGTTTGTTCTCGTGTGTATAAATATAAAGCGATCGTGTCTCTTCAGACAGTCTGGATTAAATCTCTCAATCCATATGAATCATTTTACAGTGTTTTTATGAACTTTTTGAATCGTAAAAGTTTTGGTTGCATTGACTTTCGTTGGTGGAACAGAAATCTCTCAGGTTTAATTAAAAATAAATAATCATTTGAATTTCAAAGATGAACAAAAGTCATACAGGTTTGGAACATCATGTTTAGAGTGAGTAATTGATGACAGAATTGTAATTTTGGGGTGAACTGTCTCTTTAAGATCCTCTCTGACCTCTGTTTTGTCGTGCAGGTCACATGTTGCCCAAGCGACACTAGCATAAATAACATCAGCGTTCCAGTGGAATTTATTTCCCGCCACAACTGTCAGGGCCTCTACACCTTTGTGGATCACCGCTGTCAGGCGACGGTGGGCTTCCAGCCTCAGGTGGGCCTCAGAAACCTGAGTCAGGGTCATTTCTGCAGAGCAGGAGGTTAAGATGATGCCTCTGCATTTGTTGAGTATCACTGATGAGCTCCACTGTCTTGCATAGTGATGCACCAAGATCTTTTAGTCAGCGTTATTTTCAGTTGTCTTTATTTGTAGCACACATACCATGCAGTAATCTCGATAAGCTTTGTTACTTTTGATATAAAACAAAATCTGATCATTCAAAGTATGTCAGTTTTATCACAAAATACAAACAATACATGTGGATTTGACACAGTTTAATGTGAGATCGCTGTAGCCTCAGTTCAAGCAACATGTGAACTGATCATCTCTTCCTCTTTACTACTAGTTATAGCACCAAATAACCATGAATGAACATCAGAAGGTGTTGAAAGAAACAGAATAACTTACTGAAATGAATCATATCTTGTGTATTCGATCAATCAGTGTTTAAACTGCAGAAATACATATTTATTGCCAGTAAAACAGCTTGTGAACAATTACGTTTACCTCAGGAAGGACATTCATGTCCATAAACTCATTAGTTAGCTAGAAAACAAAAACCTGAGGAGCAGTTTGATAAATATATACAATACGTTACATATTCATTTTATTTTTACTTAACCTGTTTCTTCGTTAGTTAATGTATGTTTAAATAGATCTGTCACGAAAACAAGTTTTTATCACAGCCACTGTTTAAATGATTATATTTCATGATTTGGAGTAACTGCGTCATTAAAAATGCTATTTAAATGTATTATACAAAAGTCAGTTTTATTTGAATACTGGTTATTAAATAAATGTGGTTATTATTATTGTTATTATAATAATTGGGTGCTTCTAGTCTTGCAGTGTTTTCCATCTTTTGTGTTGTTATGTGACACAGGAGCTACTGGGGAAGAACGTCCTGGAGTTTGCACATCCAGAAGACCAGGGCTTACTGCGAGACAGCCTTCAGCAGGTGTGTGTGAGAGAGCGTGTGTGAGAGTGTGTGTGTGTGAGAGAGCGTGTGTGTGAGCGTGCGTGTGTGTGTGTGAGAGAGCGTGTGTGTGTGTGAGCGTGCGTGCGTGTGTGTGTGTGTGAGAGCGTGCGTTGTGGAGGTAATCAAATGTAATTCAGTTTGTTTGAAGGCGTGTGTGTATGTCACGAAAATGTCTGGGTCTTATTTCACCCCAAAATATATAAATAAAGAAATTGATATTTGTTTTATGTATTATGACATAGTAAAATGAGACATTTCATGACAATTTAGCATATCTTCCTCCTCCCCAATTCTAATAATACAGAAAATATATTTATTTCAGTTATGAACACCACTTCTGCTCACTTGCACCAACGCCAATGTCAAGTTAGTACTGAAATGCATCACAAGATCAGATACTGATGTCACTCGCTTCGATATATCTTGTTATCTAATGTAAGTTAATGCTGCTTACATTGTGACTTAATTGTTTTGGGGCCACTGTTTAATATGTTTAGCATCATGTTATTCAGTGTTGTCTAATCCAGTATGACTTTATGCAGTGTGTCATATGCTTTTATGATCAAAGGTTAATTCCTGTGGAGGTAATCAAATGTAATTCAGTTTGTTTGAAGGCGTGTGTGGATGTCACGAAAATGTCTGGGTCTTATTTCACCCCAAAATAGTAATAAAAAGAGGAAATTATATAGAAATTACAAAGAATATATAAATAAAGAAATTGATATTTGTTTTATGTATTATGACATAGTAAAATGAGACATTTCATGACAATTTAGCATATCTTCCTCCTCCCCAATTCTAATAATACAGAAAATATATTTATTTCAGTTATGAACACCACTTCTGCTCACCGAGGCTGAACTTATTTGATCAAAAATACAGTAAAAACTGTAATATTATGAAATATTATTACCATTTAATATAGCTGTTTTCTGTGTGAATCTGTGTTAAACTGTAATGTATGTCTGTGATGCGCAGCTGTATTTTCAGCATCATTCCTCCAGTCTTCAGTGTCACATGATCTTCAGAAATCAGTATAATATGCTGATCTGCTGCTCGAGAAACATTTCAGATTATTATCAATGTTAAAAACAGTCGTGCTGCACAATATTTGTGTGGAAACTGTGATGCATTTTATTTTTCAGGATTCACAGATGAACAGAAAGTTCAGAAGAACAGCATTTATTTGAAATAGAAATATTTTATAACATTTTACATGTTGATCAATTTAATGTGTCCGTGATGAATAAATTAATTAATTTCTTTCAAAAACAAAAAAAATTACTGATTCCAAACTTTGGTAGTATTTTATCGTTTTTTATTTATTTTTTTATTTTTATTAAAAAGTAATTGCATTACTGTAATGTGAATCATCACTGAGAATGATAAACAAACATCTGGACACATTATGATGATGAGACTTTAAGAAAATGTGCTGAATTGGCCTGAAAAGGCAAAATTGTCCCAATGTGAAAAAATCCGAAAGCTCCCAAATATAGGAGTTTTTTTTTTTTATGTGAAACAATGTCATGTTTGTTAGATTTTTGGGGTCAGTTAGGAGCCAGACGTGTTTGAGCCGTGTGAGTCTGAGAGTGAGCGCGAGCTCTCAGTTTAATCTGACCGCTTTCTCTCCACCAATCCCTCTGGTTTACATGACAGTAGAGGTGCAAATCAGGACTCCCTGTCCCCCCTCTCTTCCCCGGGGGTTTCACTGCCCCCTTCACTGGGGCAGAGCAGTCCTAACTGCCCCTCCACCCCCAGCCCAGGGCAGGTCACAGCCAGGTGAGAGCAGACCAATGGTGCACTGGGTCTTTCTTTCTCCTCTCGGGTGAGCCTCTTTCCGTCCCGTCTGCTGCTGTCGGTCGGTGGTGGGTTAACAGCATGCTTTCTTCCCGTAGATAGCTGTGCTGTCCAAGGCAAGCTGAGAACAGGTGGCGGTGTGTCGGTGGTGGGTTTGACGGTCATGACGTTCTCACATCAGTGTGGTTTGCTCTTCTGCAGGCAGTTGCAGCAGCAGCAGGCCGAGTTAGACGGAGGGATGGGACAAGACGCAGCGTATGAAACCAATCAGGTCACTCTTCCTCAGGTGAACACACACCCACTTCCCCTTTAAATTACTACATCACACTCTGTGCTGTTTCAGTGCACAGTGTTGATTAGCAGATTTAAAAAATGTGACCCTGGAGCACAAAATAAGGGTCAATTTTTCGAAATTGAGAATTATGCATTACATGAATAAATAAGCTTTCCATTGATGTATGGTTTGTTAGGATAGGAAAATATTTGGCTGAGATGCAACTATTTGAAAATCTGGAATCTGAGGGTGCAAAAAAATCTAAATATTGAGAAAATCACCTTTAAAGTTGTCCAGCAATGCATATTACTAATCAAAAATTAAGTTTTGATATATTTACGGTAGGAAATTTTTTGGCTATTGCTACAAATATACCCCAGCGACTTAAGACTGCTTTTGTGCTCCAGGGTCACAAATAGATGTAAATGAAATAACTGTGAAAAGTACCAGCACTGAATGAACTCAAAACAATGAGTTAACCCTCCTGAGCTTTTCACACGCTGGTTGTTTGCTAACACTTAAAGAGTAAGAGTGTCATTTTGTCGTTGCTTAATGATATGTTCTAACACTAGTTTCCCTAAAGTGTTAACAGTAGAAGTATGCAGTCTTGGGGATTTTGGCTATTTGGATCTTATTTACCACTCTTAATCTGATGAATAATTGGCTTCCGTGAGTGATTTTAGATCCGGAACGGTAAAAGTGTTACTTGGTCTTATTTACATGTACATTTCACAGTTTCACCCTCATTTCAGAATGTCTCTCTAAAGTAAAAATATACACAATATGAGAATTTATTATGTATTTGAGCCAGATTGCTGCCATCTGGAGTCAAAAAATAAAACATAGCATGGCTTAACAAATAAAATCAGCCTAGGAGAGGTTAACTGATTACAAAACATTCATTTGTGCTGTGAAGTGTTTCTGTTGTCTCACTTTAGCTCGTTTTCCCCGTAAAGTCTGCTTCACATGTTAGTTGGGGCTTCTTCACCAGAAAGGAGATTTGCTAACCTGCTCATGTAGTGAAGTGACTGAGCGTTTGTGTCTGTGTTTGTCTCAGGTTCCAGTGCAGACTGCAGGTGTAGTCGGTGCTGATCACAGTAAGACTCCCAATAAACACACACACACAGATATATGGCCAAGAATATTAGCACTATATTTTTTCCATAGTATTCGATTTTGATATTTATCGCAATATTCATTTAACACCGTTAATGGGGAAGGAATGTTTATTAGACATGTAGAATGAATGTAAACATAACTTGTTTGTTTACAAGTAAACTACACAGAGTAAATTTTTTTTTTTTTATTACATTTAGTTATAATAATAATTAATTTCATACAAATCTATAATAATGTTGTCTACTGAAATAAATCGTATTTACATTTTGTTTTTTAATTTAATCAAATGAAGATGTAATTAATTAACTAATATTAGTTAATATTAATTAACGCAATTAATTGCATTTTTATTTTTTTTAAAGCATGGGTGAAAAATATCTTTATTGTATGATATTCCTTAAAAATTAGGGATGCACCGAAATGAAAATTCTTGGCTGAAGCCGAAACCGAACAAAATGAAACACTGGGCCGAATACCAATTTTTTTTTTCACCATTGCATAAATTCACCATTGCTTTTTACAGTTTTTTCTTCTTGCTTTTCAAAGAAAAAAATCAATTAAAAAATATTTAACACTGAACATTTTTAACATTCTAGCAGACACTATACCAACAAAGCACAATTTAGCTTAAAATTAATAAGTTGGTAAAATAATAATTTGTGGCCATCAGACCCCCTTCTTGAATCAGGCATGCATTTTTTTTGGTACTGTACAATTAAAAGCAGCCTTGCTGAGAAGAGACTTCTTTTAAAAGATTAGAAAATATTACAGATCTTAATTTGAACACTACGTGGGAATGTTATAATAAATGTATTAAAACAGAGCCGTTGTAATGATTATTATCATTATTATTGTCTTACTTTTTATTTTATTTTACAGAACAACAGTAAAATTACAATACTAACATTTATGAATGTTGATGAGTTCTTGCTTTTTCTTTTTTGGCGGAAACGTGGACCTCGATGCTTATTTTTGACCGCTGGATAACAAGCAGATCTGCTGCGAGCTCGTGCAGCGCTGTCAGAATACATGCAATGCGTGCGTGCATTAGAAAACATGACGTTCTGCAGTTTATTTACTAATAGTTTAAGGCCATTTCGTGATTTCAATCATCGTACAGTAACCAGCAACAATCACCCCGTCCTCTTCTCATTGAAGACATGCGCTGCAGTGCTAAACAGTCTCTCGCTGTCGGTGCTTGTAATGATTTTTGCATCTTTCTCCAACAGTTTAAATGCTTCCACACTGCTGACGTGTGTGCTGCATTATAAAGAGTGCGCGCCTCTCACTCTGCGCTGGGTGCTATTCGATCGCGTCACGTCATTGTTCGGGACAGTTTATTTGGTCTTTTCACTTATTATTTATATATATATATATAATTTCGGTTGCCGAACATTCGGTGCATCCCTATTAAAAATAATAATAATAATAATAGTCAATGCATGATATAATGTATTATTACATTTTGTAATTGTTATTAATTTTATCATTATTTAAAAGTATATTTTGCTATGCAATAGCACTATATTTCTGTCATAATTTCTTAAGTT